TAATAATAATAATAATAATAATGTAGCTCTACTTAAGAAAAACTAGAAGAAACATTAGCTATGCAACTAAAGTCTTCAAAATCAAAATGAATATAAATGTATATAACTGCTTGATGAAACAGTCTGAACTCTTTAGGGAATGAATAATAATCTTCTTAAACACTACCTTCACGGGCTAGAGAGATGGCTCAGGGGTTAAGAGTACTGGCTTCTCTTGCAGAGGATCCAACTTCAATTCCCAGCACCCACTTGGTAACTCACAATCATCCATAACTCTAGTCTCAGGGGATCTGATACTTTCTTCTGGTCTCCACAGGCATTGCAGGCACATGATGCACTTATATACATGCAGGCAAAATACTTAAATGGCGTTGTCTTAGTTACTTTCTATTGCTATGATAAAAACACTGACCTAAACCAACTTGGGAAGGAGAGGGTTTATTTGGCTTACAGCTCAGTCTATCATCAAGGAAAACCAAGGCAGGAACTCAGGGCAGGAACCTGGAGCACAGACCGTGGAGGAGTGCTGCTTACTGACTTGCTCCCCTGGTCTGTGCTCAGCCTGCTTTCTTATGTAACACAAGACCACCTGCCAGGGATGACTTCACCCATAGTGGGCTGGGCCCTCCCACATCATTCAACAATTCTTCCCCTCTACCCAGGTGCATCGAGTTAACAACTGAAGCTATCCAGCTCAATAGTGGGAACGTCAATTGAAGAAGTTTCTCCTTTGGATTGGCCTGTGGCCATGTCTGTGGGGGCATTTTCTCAACTGCTGAGTGATGTGGGAGGGCCTAGCCCACTATGGGCAGTGCCACCCTGGGCAAGTGGTCCTGTGTTGTCTTAGAAGGCAGGCTGAGCACAGACCAGGGGAGCAAGTCAGTAAGCAGCACTCCTCCATGGTCTGTGCTCCAGGACCCTGAGTTCCTGCCTTGACTTCAGTTGACGGTGGACTGTGCTGTAAGCCAAATAAACCCTTTCCTGCCCAAGTTATTTTTGGTCAGTGTTTTTATCACAGCAATAGAAAGCAACGAAGACACACATGAAATAAAAATAACTAAAATTTTAAAACACTGGCTTCAAATTACTTTTTTCTTTTAACCCTCTTCCCACCTATGAGCAGAGTACATAACCATATTAGCACTGTTTAAGAACAGTCTCATTTCAATTAAAACTCACAACCAGGACTTAAAATGTCTATAGTTTAAATGAAACTTCAGACTCACATCAAAGTTGAAGCTCTTCACTCCTCCAAACTCCACTCTGTTCTGGCCCAGTGCCCAGGTGGTCTTTGCCTGGGATAGACACATGGTATGCTCTATTCTCCTGCCTCTACTCTCCTGCCTCACTTATTCCTCACCTTTATGCCCTGTCAGTTCCCTGACCTTAAGTCTGGAGGGATGGCTAGAAGTGAGTTAGCATCCATCACTTGACCCACAGCTGTTATACTGTCCCTGGTTCTGCTCTCTCTGAGGTATCCAGACAATGGCTTCTCTTTTTGTGAGTTTCTTAGTCATTTTCAGAGACACAATGGCTCTCCAGGCACACTGCTCCCAGCTGAGGTGGCCAGTATACTTGGTTGATCCTTTTCCAACAATGCCTCAGCTTCCGACACTGATAAGCCACGCCACACAGTCTCTTACTGCTGCTACCCTGTGGGTAGCGTCCCTATAAACAGCTAAGGCCTGGCTCCTCTTACCATCTGTACTTTGCCTGCAGGGCGGTCACAGTCCATCACCATGTAAAAGGCTTGCAGTGTAGGCCACCTTGTGGATGCCCTTTCCTGATCCTTCTGCTCTAGGCTGCTACAGCTCATCACCCATCTTCCCCATCCCCTTGCCTGGAAGCAAGCTGCATCTAGTTGAGAGGGAAGATATTCATCTTCCCTTCCTGTAGCCTCCTAATCTCAGTCCTATTTTTTTTTTCCTTGCAGTCTTGGGAGGAGAATAACTTCACAGTTCTCCCCCTAAATCAGTCAGCAACTCACTAGGTCATGAGTATTCTACCCTACAACACTGAAAAAGGGTGGGTGCAAATAGACAGATGTGACACTGAGGGGGTCATGAGGGATTTCATAAGCAAGCCAAAAAAAAAAAAAAAAAAAGAAAGAAAAACAAATTTTAGGGACTGGAGAGATGGCTCAGTGGTTAAGAATACTGGCTGCTCTTGCAGAAGACCCAGGTTTGATTCCCAGCACCCACATGGTGGACAGCAACTGTTCTTAACTCCAGCTCCAGGGGATTCTGATGCCCTCTTCTGACTTCTGTGGGCATTGCAGTACACAGGCATACTTATGTACATGAAGCAATACATATAAAATACAATAATAAATAAAATATTTTTTTAAAAACAAAAACAAGTTTAACTATATTAATATGTTTGAGGTCCATAAAATAGAAGCATTTTTAGTTAAAGACAAGTTACAGCCTAGAGAAAATATTTATAGAACATATACACCCACTAAATTTGTATCCAAGACATAAAAACTACAAATCAGTAAGAAAAACACATGTGTATTTAAAGTAAGCAGAGAAAAGACATTAGTACAGAAAATCTGAATAGCCAATAAACATGTAAGAATATATTTAAGAAACACAAACTCATTCTTACTTTTACAAATGCAAATTAAAATTCGGTTCCATTTAACAAAAAAAAATTTGTTAGCTAATATTTTATCATATTATGGGTATTCGTCTGTATATTTTTAATTTTTAATGTAATTTATTCTTATTTTATGTGTATGATGCCTGCATGTATTTAAATGCACCTGTGTTGTGCAATGCCCCTGGAGGCCAGTAAAGGGTGTCAGATCCCCTTGAACTAGAGTTATGGACAGTTGTTAGCCTCCATGTGGATGCTGGGAATTGAACTCAGGTCTTCTGCAAGAGCAATTAAGTGTTCACAACCACTGAGCCATTTCTCCAACCCTCTTCTGTACATTTTTAATTAACTGCTATTCTTTCATATTTTGTTAAAAAATTATAAACTGAGTTGGGACAATGACTTAGTAGGTAAAGTACTTGTCACCCAAGCCTGAAGACCTGTGTTTGATTCCCCAGCATCACATACAAGCCAAGTACAAGTCTGTATCTTCTCAGCTGTCAGGGCTGAGAAAGTAGAGAAAGATGGCTCCTAGGGTCTCACTGGTCCACCAGTCTAGCGGAAATGGTGAGTTTCAGGTTCAGTGAGAGAACCTGACTCAAAAACTAAGATGGAGAGTAACAAAGGCAGACACTCCACACTGACCACTGGCTTCCACATGCCCACACACCTACATGTGCATATACTCAACACACACACACACACACACACACACACACACACACAGAGGGGTGGTGGGGTGCAGAAATGCCCTTGTTTAATGAGATGACATGAAGGAGGCAGTACAGTCATTAAAGTATGAATGAGTCAAGAGATATAAAGTCCTTGTAGGCTTCAGGATGGCAGACACCACAGAGGATGAAGAGGGGTTCACTCAGCAAGCTTCTACCCTCTTCATGGTATTTTATTGCTTACTTTCAAAAGATCCAAAGTCAGCATACAAATGACTGTCATTTATTATACCTGGGTGGTTGAACAATAGCTGCCTAGTAAATTATTTTTAAAGCATTTATGTGTGTCTGAAATATTTTATAATTATTATTTTCTCAATTTAAAAATATGTAAATATTTAAAGTTTTCTTTATATGGACTCAAATCAAGTGACTATAGTTGTGATTCATTTAAAATAAATAGCATGAAAAATTCATATTCATAAAAGATCAATTAGTGGGTTATTAATCACGTTAAAATGTATTCACTATATAACTCACAAAACAGAATGTTTTATGATGCAATCAGAATTATTCAATTTATAATTGGGCGATTTGCATTTAACTTTTCTAAAATATTCATGCTTTATAAATTGAGGTACACCTGTTAATTCCTCTTTCCTGTACCTGTTTATAGAGATTGCTCTGGGAATAATTTCAGATGCAAAAGAAAGTACCCAGTTGGGAAAAGCATTTATTCTAAGGGAAGAAAGTCTTCTAGAATCATCATCATAGGACACTCATATTCTTCCCCCCAAAAACTTATGCAATATTATAGTCTGTAATGTAAGTAATGCTGTGAACACCTTGTCAAGAAAATACTGTTTGCTGTTTTAAGGAAAAGTTAACGAGAAATTAAAGTGCCCGTCTACGCACAGAGCGGCATGGGTGTCTGTGTACCAACGCCTATCGAAGCCTGGGTTGCGTCTCTTCTTGTCTTCAATTTCCTTTTCTTCCTCAAGTTTCCTCTGAGCCTCTTCTTTCTCTTTGGCTCGTCTAAGGCAGTAAGCTTCTTCTTGCTCTCTGATTTGCTGTTCAACTGCTGAGTAGTTCTGCATTGCCTGAATCCTTTCAGAACGTTCTATTTCTTTACCATCCAACCACTTAAATAAAAAGCAAAAAACATAGTACATTAATTAAAACTCAGCCAGACATGGTGGTTCATGTCTGTAATCCAAGCACTAGGGTAACAAATGTTGCCACAAGTTCAAGACCAACCTGTGCCAGCCTACAAATGAAGGAAGCATGGGGGCGGTGAAGAGAAGGGTGAGAGGGAGGATGGAAGAAGAGAAGGTGGAAAGGTGACTTTGACTGGTATATTTTTAAATTAGAAAAAATAGTGTGTCAAAGCAATAGAGAATTTAAGCAAACTAATTAATGGAAAGCAACAGAAACATTGCTCTAAATCAATACTTATTCAATTAACATAGTTTACAAAATACCTTCATTGGAAATAATAAGTAGGCCTCCTGTCAAAACAATTAATGACAAGCTCTCAAAATATTTTCTAGTAGTTTTATAACTGCTCACTATATTAAGAATTTTGTGGATGGCCTCAAACCCATGCACATATGGGCAGCAGTAACTGAACTTAGTGGGTTACGATTTATAAAAAAGGCATGAATCAGGAGGGTAATGTGTTGAGGGGATGTCGATGGAGTTGGAGGGGGAAATGGGGTAGTTATGATCATATTTCATGGTATACAAGTAGAAAACTTTCAAAAATAAAGAAATTAAAATTTTTTGAATCTTGTAAAATTTGGTTATTGTAAATGAAAATCAAGAATAACCAGTTGAAAAAAAATTTGAAGAATTTTGATGCTTAAATCATCTCCTAAACAATGACATTTCTCAAAGCTCTTCACAGAAAAAAGGGGCTTTGGATTTTGTGCAGAGAGGAGCTTTAATCCAAACCAATCCATCACTGGAGAAAAGACAGGACACTATTAATTGTCATAATCAGTTTACATACTATTTATATAATAATTTTTCCAAGTTAAAATGTAAAGCTAGGGGCTGGGGAGATAGTTCAGTCAGTAAAGTGCTTGTTGCACAAGCCTGAAGACCTGAGTTCCACTCCTAGCATCCTGATAAAAGACTTGTAACCCTAGTACAGGGCACATGGAGACAGACAGATTCCTAGGGTTCGCTGACTAGCCAGCTTAGCCTAATTGGTGAGTCCCAGGTCCCAGTGAGAGACTCTGTATCAAAGAACTCAAGGTGGCTAACACCTGAGGAAGAACAACACTTGAAGTGGTCTGCTGGTCTATACATGCAGACAGACAGACAGACAGACAGAGACAGACAGACACACACACACACACACACTATAGAAAGAAAACATCATCTAAAATCTGAACTTTTAAAGCTACCAGTGTAAAGAGGTCTGTTTACCAAGGCTTCTTTTACAGGTAGAGGTGGGAGATTTATTTAGACTGTCTAGCAGACAATGGTTTCCCCATGGTACTATGTTCCAGTCTCTGAGAATGTTATCTCCTATGTTTAAAGGGTCTTTGTAGCTGTGATTAAATTAAGGATCTTGGCTGAGCAAGTGAACCTTGATGGAATTATAGAGAGTCTATAATAAACTAAGAAAGTTGAAGTATAAAGATCAGAGTTAGGGAGTAGTGAAGGCAGCTGGTTTTGAAAACTGACGAAACTCAAAGATGCAAGAACTTCTCCCCTGTGACTCAAGAAACAGCCCTGCCAGCATCTGGATTTCCACCGTGTGAAATCATTTCGGATTTCTGACCTTCAGAACTACAAGATGAAGTTGTTTTGCTTTAAGACACTAAATTTGTGTTAACCTGCTGATTCAGTACCAGGAAACCATTACAAAAAGAAAACACAAATTTCTTAGAATATAAAATTTAAGTCTCTTGGGATGAGTCACAGTATACAATAAAATTATAATTCAGAAATTTGGAAAATCATTTCAAATATATTTGCATAATGAGATCCATGTGACTAATACACACCAGCTGTAAATTTACTTTTGAGCTTCCTGGAAACCAAAGTAAAATAGAAAAACATGATTAGTTATTCCAGTCCTCTACGTTTAATTTTAAAACACATTAATTTCTGATTCTCATATAATATTTAGCTTGAAAACATATCACTCAAATAGAGTTTAATAATGGAGATCTTGAGAAATGTCACAAATTATTTTTGTAGAAATATGTTCACATAGCACCAGGATTATAAAGCTCTTTTTTTCTAGCATCCTCCTATGAAAAATGAGGCCACAGAAATAAATTCATTTCCAATTAAAGCTATCATTTAGGTTGATAACTGTGGTCCACATTCTAAAATCAAGCTAGATTAGTCTAAGCTAGATTTAAGATCTAATCAAGTTGGAAAGTTCTGAATAAAATATACTTGTTAGATTAGTAAAATAAATCTCTGTAATAAAATTTGTAAATATTTAAGTAAATATTAATATGTGTAAATGAGACTATGGAATATTAACATAAACACGTATCATATATTATTGTATCAAGTTAGGAGATTCTGACTATAATTCTTTCAACTGGGATTTTAATTAACTTTGAGAAACCAGGTAATATTCTAAGTTATATCAGGAGCACATTTATTTATTTGATTTATAGTGTCTTTATACATGTTTAAATTTAACTTTAATTATATGTACTATTTCAAGAGGATTACAAAAGACTCCTCTGCCCCCTTCCAGACAGGAGACCGCATACCAAGAGCACTGATGTCACATTTGGGCCTCTCCCAACCAACCTATTCTAGGGACCTCAATTTGTTAGAAGACATGTTAGGCAGTCCTCAAAATTGGCCTGAGTTTTCTCCAAGTCCCAATCACTTCTGAGTTGAAAATCCTAGTGACCAGTGATGGCATTTGAAGTTGAGCACTTTAGCATCACCTGATATTATTCCACAGGGTTCCTGTACCCTGAGGCAGCATAACACACTAACAGTAAGTCTGCATGGGTCACAGCAGAAAAAAGCCGCTGAGGCTCACTCAGGGCTTCACAGACTCAGAGGAAGAACTGTCATAGTTGGAGATGAGTAAGACAAATCATGCAATTCATAGGTAAGAACATTAAGTCATACGCCTCTGCTACTGAAGTCTTTTCTTGCCAACTACAGTACCCGCTCACTATTTGGAGTGGCTCAGACACTGGGAAAGAACTCTTGGAAAAAGCAAAATCTTCTCATACCTCCTTCAGGTGGGGGTCTAAAATCAATCATTCCTCTGTTCTTAGAGGCTGAAGTTAGAATACCTCCACCAAACATGATTATTTGTTTGGAAATACTGTCATCATAGGTATAATTCAACAAGATGAAGTCATACTGGAGTATGGTGGGCTGATAATCCAATATAACTAGCATCTTTAAAAAAATTATGCAGTGTGAAGAAACAGAGGCCCGAGAACACTGTGTAAGCCAAAGGCAGAGATCAGAATGTCACACGTGTAAGCCAGTCCACTCGGAGATAGGCCTAGCATCTCCCTCATGGCCCCAGGAGGGAGCCAGCTCTGCCTACATTTTGTACAACTTGATCCTGACCATTTGCTCCAGACCTATGTGATAAGACGTTCCTGACATTGAAACTACCAATTTATGGTGTTTCACACAGTAGTGCTGGAAAACTAATCCATCTTTTACCTCAGTTCCCTTCAAACAGATCTTACAAAATCTTCAGTGGAATGGTAGTTAAGATTCTAAAGTGTACTGCTCTATTTTTAAATAGCAACAAACATGACTATTAATAATGCTTTTCAGAAGCAGGGAAGGCCTTGTGTATTTGTTGACTCAGTTCAGTCTTCCTAAAAGAGCAGGCTTGATCCAATAGCTTACATCAACTCAGAGCAGCGATCAGTGTGGGCGAGAGGTGGAGAGTTAGGGTCAGACACAGGTAGGTGCAAATCCCTCCTGCTTCACTTGTCAGGCTGTCAAGTCAAACAAGGAGGGCGAGTTCTGTGTGCCATAACTTCGTCACCTCCAAATGCACCTCACTGCCTCCTGTGTATCTAGGGCAACATATATACTATTGGTGACTGCTTTCAGTATCCAACAACATTCACCTTTGGCCTGAACACAGCAGCACTAACAGGCTCAGCTGTGGTGACCAGGTGGCCCCCAGCCCCTGATTAGTTCAGGGAATGACACAACCTCCCTCTCTCCCCAGGATCCAGCCCTGGGATGTTCTGCTTCTCATCACTCATTTTCCAGGAAGACACCGTAGGAAGATGGCAATCCAGTTTATGTGTTAAAGTCATTTATCTCTTCTAGATTCAATTACCAGACTCATAATCTAAGGACTTTCATATCAGAAGAAATGTGTTGTATGACTCTAGCAGTCAGTGATTCCTCATCTACAGAGACTGAAGTCCGTGGAACAAATGTCCTCTGAGGACTGAGCCAATGGCTGTCACTAAACTGATGCACTGCTGTGTCTCTCTTTGCAGAGGAACAGAGACATATGCAGGTGGGAACTTCTGGAAAGTTCCAACTAGCACTATCCTCTAGTATTCCCAGTCATGCCTTCTTTAGAATCATATTTTCATAAATAGTAGACTTTAAATTATTCTAAATAATAATAATATAAGTCCCAAAATTACTGGATTTGGGGGATATGAAGGCAAAATAAAAGCATGCTGTGAACTTTGATAGATAGCCTGTTTTCAACTATTTCAACTATTGTACCTGGTTTATAATTCCTCTCCAAAGAGTGTCACGGAAATCCTATAATGTCTTTTATCTGCTCATAAAGAAATTCTCTGGGGCTGGAGAGATGTTTCATTTGGTAAAGTGCTTGCCTCATAAGCATAAGGACCTGAGTCTGATACCCAGAACCCACATAAAAATGCCAGGCTGGTGGCACATACCTATAATCCTAGCACTTGGGAAGGCAGAGAGGATCCCTGGGCCTCACTGGAAAGGCATAATTGGTGAGCCCTAGGCCAGTGAGAGACCCTGTCTCAAAAGAACTGGACAACAGTGTTTCTGAGAATGACATCAAGGTTGTTCTCTGGCACACAGAGACACAAACATGCATGCACATATACACATACACATACCACACACACATACACACCACACATGTATACACATACATGCACACTTGCATACACATGCAAATGTGCACATGCACACACATGTGGGCACATATTACACACATGCATGCATATGCACAGTCATGAACACACTTGTATGCACATTCACATATGCATGTATACACATACATACATATACACACAAATGCATGTATACATACATATACATACAAATGCACTTAGACATATACATATGCACATGTACACACATGAACACACATACACAGATACATACATATGTGCATGCACACAAGCACATATACACATGTATATACAGAGACATATATACACAAGGACATGTACATACACAGATACACACAGGCACATACACCCATGCATACAGACACATACACATGCATGCATACATGCGTGCATGTGGGCATACACACATGTTCACATGTATATGCATATATCTGCATGTGCATACACACATGCAAATACACACATATATGTGCACATACATTAAAAAAATAAATTCTCTGATGCAGCTCCTCATTTTAGAAGGTTCCTGCTCCATACCCAATGAGAAGAAGCTGAAGGTTCTTGGTAGACCTTATGCCATAGGGTTCTATCAAATCCCCAAACGCCAGTACTTAGAGAGCTTCCTGGTCACTGAACACATAGAGGTTCCTGGAGGGTGGCACACCCAGAGAAGGACATGGACATGGGAGCACCACATCACCTCATCCCTCTTACTCTATGCATGTCTTCATCTGGATTCTTGGCAATACTCTTCACAATAAATAAGAACGAAAAAGTGTCTTGCTTGAGTTCTGTGAACACTGCTCAGGTCAATTAACCAAAACTGAGGAGGTGATCATGGAAACTCCTATTTCAGTCAGACATACAGGGAAAGACAACCCAGAGCTCATGGCTGGCATCTAACCTGGAGGAGCTTGGGGTGAAATCTGACAGGATCCTCAAGTAGTATCAGAAGTGACCTGGATTAGAGGACAACCTGGCTGTAGCCGCTGCTGCAGAAAGGACCCTCTACTTGACATGCAGGGGAAACCTTGGCACACACAGAAGAAATCTTCTATGTTGTTTTGGCATGACAATGAGGAAAATGAAATCATTCTGCTTCTGCTAGACACACACAAAGAGCAGTGGTTCTCTGATTAGTGTCCTGGATGGGCAGCATCAGCATCACTTAAGGGTTTCTTAGAAATACAAATCTCATACCCATGTCAGACCCAAACTCAGAAATCTGGGGCTGGGAATGGGAACATGTTTCCTTGTTTGGTTTGTGCTTTGGAGGGGTTTTGGACAGGGTCTCACTGTGTAACCCTGGATGGCTTGGAACTCACTATGTAGACCAGGTAGGCCTTGAACTTGCTGTGATCCCTCTGCCCTGGCCTCTGTCTCTCAAGTCCTGGGATTACAGGCATGTACCACTATGTGCAGCACAACCTGTGTTCTAACAAAGCCCCTTGATTACTCTGCTGCATACCAAACTCTGAAAGCCCCTGCTTTTTTTTTTTTAAGAAAAGGTAATGCCAAAAACATTTACCTGCAGGGGCTGGGGGGAGGGCTCGGCTGTTAAGAGCACTGACTGCTCTTACAGAGGACCTGGGTTCGGCTCCCAGCACCCACATGGTGGCTAACAATCGTCCTTAACTGCAGTTCCAGGGAATCTGATGCCCTCTTCTGACCTCCACTGGTATTGCACGACAGAACTGCACTTACATACATGCAGGCAATATACTCATATACATAAAATAAAAACAATATAAAACACTTTTTAAAAAATTACCTAAACAGAGCATTTTAAGACTATATAATACTAATGTATCAAACTGTGTCAATTTCTGAAATTCTAAACTTTGGTTCATTACTAGTAATAATGAAGTATTAATGGTGATGATGAATGTACTCAAAAGGGATGGTTCAACTGCATCAATAAATAGTAAGGTTCTATGTATTTTGGTAACACAGGAGTCAAGAATGTGACTTTAAACAAATATTTGTTAAAGTTTTCAAAACAATGTTAAAGATTATCTTGGTTCACTTCCTATTGCTATGATAAAACTGACCAAAAGCAACTTGGGGAGGAAAGGGTTTATTTCATCTTACTCTTCAAAGGGACAGTTCATCACTGAGGGATGTTAGGCAGGAACCTGGAGGCAGAACTGAAGCACAGTCTATGGAAGGATGGAAGGACGCTGCTCACTGGCTTGCTCCTCTGGCGTGTACGCAGTTTGCTTTCTTATACAACCCAGGACCACCAGGGGTGGCACTGCCCGCAGTGGGCTTGGCCCTCCCACATCACTCAATAATCAAGAAAATGCCCCAGAGACATGCCCGTAGGCTGGTCTGATAGAGAATTTCCCCAAATCAAGGTTCCCTCTTCCCAAGTATGTCAAATTGACAACCAAAGTCAACTATGACAAAGATTTAGAAGTCAAAAAATTGAGATTTGATTTTCTGGAACATTCCATTCTCAGAAACACACATCTTCCTTGGCAATTCCATGAGTAATCAGGAATTACTGTGGTTGCTCCTTATTTTTCTGTGTGTGGCAGTTTGAATGAGAATTGTCCCCCACAGGCTTCAAGTATTTGGACATCTGTGATTTGGCGCTATTTGGAAAGATTTTAGGAGGTATGGCCTTGCTGAAGGAAGCATGTCACTGGGGGCAGGCTTAGAGAGTTCTGAAACATTGCAGGATTTCCAGTCTCTCTGCTCCCTGTCCCTTCTTTAAGATGTGATTGCTCGGCTTTCTGCTCTGGCCACCTCTGCCGCCATGTGTCTCCCACTATCATGAACTCTAATCCCTCTGGAATTGTAAGCTAAATAAACTCTTCTTCTATAAGTTGCCTTGATCATGGTATCATAGCAACAGAAAAGGAACTAATACACTGTGTGTGTGCGTGTGCGTGCATGTGTGTGTTTCACCATTATACTGAACATGCCTTTAGTTGTGGCAGCATCACCACCACGAACTGCCTGTAGCCATCAAAGTCAGCGCATGGGTTGCCCATGAGAAAGAGCTCCTTCAGGTGAATATTGTGCTTCAGGGTTTTAATGCTGCTCAACTCTCCAATGAAATTCACAGTCAAGTCAAGTTTTGTCAGATCTTCACAGCCTGTTGAGAACCAGAGAAAAAGAGAAAAAAGAAAAGCAGAAAAATGACAGTGGCAATCGATCTTTGTAATATCAAATAATACACATAAGAGTTGTATTATTTTTTTAGAAGAAGCATTTATGTAATTTTTTAATCTACTATTTGCATTAACTACCAATGGGTGGTTTTTTAGAACTCAAAGTCTTCATCTTGTCCCTTTCCTATCTACAGTTCTCCTGATTTTCAGCCTGCTTGGTCCTTCCAGCCAGGGGAAAGCACATTTCCTGCTCATAACTCAAGGCCTGGGACGACTAATGTTTGACTTTGGTCATTATCTGGCACAGTGTTGCTGTGTAAAAGCTGCTAGCAGAGAGGGCACCACATCAGAACAAATTCCCCCTTGCAGAGATGGTGCCTGGAATCCGTCTTCCTGAGCCTTCTACTAGGTGCTTAGGGCATTCATGAAGGAACTGGTAGGAATAGCTTCCAAGGAAAAGTCATTTCCTCAAAAAGCAAAAATGACAACAAGACACCCAGTGCCTCATAATTAATATTTGCAAAGTCATCTAGAAGAGACAGTGGTTCTAAGGCCACCAAGAACTGAACTGAAGATGTCAACAAAAGAAGACTAAGGAGTTTTGATGTCCCATTGACAACAGAAAAAAGGTAAGCTACAGAAGCCGAGTGTCAGTAAATATGAGTCATCCAACCATCTATACAAATGGCTAGATGCTGTGCAAACTTAAATCCAAATCTGAATTAACTTCCCTTTCGTTGCATGGGAACGTGGTGATTAGGAGTTGAGACATTGGAATTAGACACTGAGTTCAGATCTTAACTCTGTCTCATCCTTGATAAAATTACAAGCCTTAGCCTCTTTGTCTATATCATTACAGTGGTATAGGAAATAATGTTGCAGGAGTTGTAGAGATTTGATGGTTCAAGCAAAGTGCTTAGCATGGTGCCTGACACCCAGAGAGCATCCATAAACACAAGCTATGCCACAAGAGTGCAGTGGGCACTCTTCAAGTATGCCAGGGAAAGAAGAAACACAGCTATCTCCTGAACAGAGTCTGCAGTTTTCATAGAACTAAGGAAAGGTTGACCTGGTTTACACGGCAGCCTCTTCAGGCTTGGTTCAGTAAAGGCTGTCCTTCCCTGTATCTGAATCTTGTTTATGGGAATGAAACAGTAAATTTTACAGCCTTCAATACCTAGAGATTCAATCTAGGCCATCAATGCATGCTGACACTGTGTGAACTCATTTCTCCACACTTTTACAAACCCTCCATTCCCTATGTTTCCTGAATACATACTGGTATTTGGTTGCTGGTCTGTGAAAAATTAACTTGAAGTAAATGTGGTCCTGGTCTCTTAATATCACCAAAATGAACTTGATTCACGTTGGTTTGTAGCTCTGTAATCTTGTCACATTTGGTGGATTTCGACCTCATTTCTTGGAGTTATGTAATGAAACTGAGTTATTATCTGGTACTTTTTCTTCTTCTTTGTGTTTCCTTGATTCTAGCACCTCACTCCACTGTGTCCTGGGTGGGAGGCTATTTACTGGATCAAGAGCAACTTATCAATGGCTACACCACTGAAGAAAATAACAACACCCTCCAATTCTTCTCAAACATCCCCTACCTGCTAACCCTACTGTCAGCACCTCAGTTCTAGTTCTTATCACATTTTCATGGAATGTGAAAATAATCTTCTAACCCCACTCATAACAAGAATATTGGGAATGGGAGCTGAAGAGATGGCTCAGTGTTTAAGTGCTCTGGATGCTCTTGCAGAGGACCTGGGTTGAGTTACCAGTGCCCAAATGGAATCTAGGAACCACCTGTAACTCCAGTCTAGAGCATCTGAAGCCCTCTTTCCATAGGCATTTCAAGCATGTGGTGTACTTACACAGATGCAGACAAAACACCTAGACATGGAATATAAAAATGAAGAATAAAACTTTCACAAAATTGGAAAAGTAGGTAAACAACAGATAGCACTGGCACATCTTGTCATGTCGCAGTGCAAGAAGTGTTCAGAGAATATTAAGAGCACCTAAAAACACAGCAGTCTGTTGGAAAAGGCTTCTATGGCCAAGCCTGGCACAATTTGATCATCAAACTAAATAATGGTAGTAACACAATCTGCTGAATGAAACTGATGACATAATCTATTAAATAAATTAAGCATCCATGGGTCCAGAGTTAAATAAGGAATAATGAATAAAAAAGTAGGGGAAAAGGTAAAGTTACCTTGTAAAGGGAGGATCCTACCTTCACTAGACACATCATCCTGGCAAAAGAATTGCACCCAACACCAAGAATGGGTTACTTCTCTTGAAGTTGTCAACCAGTAGGATCCCATAGACCCCCAAACATTATATGCCTTTGCCATTGTTTTTGGCTACCCTCCAGAACTTAAGGGTAAGATCCTATTGTTTAATACAACCGACACTTGAATCACAGAAAAAGGAGAAATCAGCAGGTACTAACCTAGAAGCTTCATCTCTACTAAGTAGCTTTCATAGTGCTGGAAGGTGCTATGCATGTTCCTAGAGAAAAGCAATCATCAATCTTACATGCCTTTGAACCCTGTGATAATTACCAGCCTGGCAAGATATGCCCACTGGTGCAATAGTGGCATGAATGTTAAGAGAATAACCAATCATTGGATTTAAGTCTTGCTCCATGAAATGGAACTCATATCTGGCACCATTATTGGGGACAAAAGCCTGTGGCTAGGTAGGACATAGGCCCTAAGGGAGAATCTACTACTAATATCCTACTAAATGGACATACTATTAAAGCGACTCTTAATGACTTATTGTTATACCCAGAGATTACTACATCTCTCAGCCTCCATCAGAGAAGTTTTTCTTGCAGTAGAAGGAAGTTAACACAAGGACCTACAGTTGGTCAAGATGCAGAGAATAAGAGACTTTAGAGTGCTCAAACCCAAATGGGACATCCATGTCACACCCTTCTCCCCAAGGCTCAGGGATCCTCATGTAAGGAGTAGAAAGATTTAAGAACCAAAGGGGTGGATGACTACAAGAAAACAGAGTTTTCCAGACAGCAGGGCAGTTGCACATTCGCACTCACAGCAAATGCAATAGCATACTCAAGACCACTCAAACTCAAGCCAGATAAAACCCCAGCATGGGGAGGGGGATGTGGGAATGAGGCCCCACTCCCAGCTGAGGAGCTTTGGGCATTTGGTGGCTGCTGCAACAGGAAGAGGCAGTTTTCTTTAAGGGAATAACTTTTGGTAGGTTGACCACAATCCACAATCCAGGACAGGTTCCACACCCAAGGGTTATTTGGGCAACATATATTGGACTCAATGGGGAAAGAAAAAATAACATAAATTTGGGTGGGTATGAAGGTGGGGGTGGATCTAGGAGGAATTGAGGGGGAAAATGTGATCAAAATATACTGTATAAAGTTCTCAAAGAATTAATAAAAAATATTTAAAATGGTTACTCAAACCCCATCGTGTATTTTCATCTCATTATTATGGAAACATTAAAAACTATGGCTATGAAAGCACTATCAGAGGTCATAATGATCACTGGTTAAGGTCTGATCACTTGGGCACTTGGCTCCTAGATGTTGCATCATCATGTGCATTCAAGCCCTCCCATGAGAGCTGGCATTGAGTTCTTTTCTTTCTCTCTGTACCTGATCTGGCCTGAGTAATGTGCCCAACTAACAGAATGCAGTGAAAGTGAAGTGAAGGTCTGTGGCTTCCAAAGCTGAGACAGAAGCTTGTGTTACCCCCAGAGGTATGAGAACACTCACTAGTTTGTATAATGTAAAATATATAATGTATACAATGAAGTATGATATGAGACTTTGTAAATATGTATGTGTCCGTTAAAGTGCAAATATATGATATGTGTGTGTGAGTGTGTGTGTGTGTGCTTGCTCTTAGAACAATTACCCTAGGACATGTCAGAAGCCATATGCAATGACTGACTACCTTGAGTCAAATTGTACTATGAGAGTTCCAGCTGATGGCAGAGATCAGAGAGGAACCAACAGCTATGTGCCCCTAAATTTTTGACTTACAAAATTATGGGGGGAAAGTGGTCTGGTTTAGGCTCTAAGCTTTGGATTAGTTTGTTTTTCTTTTCACTGTATTACATAATTAGAATTCTATGGTATATGAAATAAGATATTACCAATGTTCTCACAGGAGTTGAGATTTGAACTCAGATCTGCCTTCCACCTCTCTGAGCTGACACACAAGAAGTCTCTGCCAATGTTTAGCTACTTTACAAATACCATTATCATTATCACCATCATCATCATCACTATCATAATGTTAAAGTTCTGAAGCTAAAACTTTTATGCAACACATATTTGGTTCTGTAAGTAAAAAAAAATTGTGACCGCCCAGCAGAGGGTGTCCCACTGACCTGGAATCCACAATTGTGGAAAGGGACACTCCTTTTTACAATACTATATTTGGTTTGCTTTGTCTTATGACTAAATCTTAACATAAATATTATGTAACCTTGGTTTAACGGTATATATTTCACTTTGCTCCCTGTATAGATATTATATAAATATTACATGGTATATTTTCATGATAAAGCCATTCCCCTGAAAGAGTACAATTCAAATTGACTCATAAAATAAGTGAACATTCCCATTAAAATTAGCCTAAATTCCTTGTAGTTCATAAAGTAACAGGAGTTTTAAGACAAAAGCTCTAGTTCCAGTGGCCCCAATAGGTTATCTTTAACCACTGGTCCAAAAACTGTTTGGAGTATCACACATGAGCTGCCTCCCATCCTGGAGAGATCACAGATCCTAGAGAAAACCCAACCTTTCTTACATCCCCAGACAAATGTAATTTTTTACTGTATGCTAAATATGAATCCTTATAGTTATACAAGTATGTCATTCACCACTCATCAAAATAGTTTCTACTTGCAACAGATGGAGATTATTACAGAGTTCTACAACTGGTCAACAACAGACAGTAAGTGTCTGAAAGATGCCCAGCCC